TAGGAACATCGCTTAATATTGTTGTTTCGAGATTCTGTTACTCAGAAGAACATTTCATTCCATGTACGACTCTCAATTAATCTCGGCATGATTGTATGTACAGTTGTAATTGCTTCTGTTCAAGCTTCCGAGATTGATATACGATTTATCCGGCTAACGTTTCGGCGCACTCGCCTTCTTCGGAGCCTGCAAATCGAAGCATATTTTTGAAACAATTCGTCCAAGCAACATTTCAGATTACAAGAAAGAAAAACTAAGGGAGAATAAGCCATGAACGATGTCGTAACCCGCTAACCTTTGTAAAAGCCGAGCGTTAGAAGGCACCCTTTGCTGAAGACCGTGCAGTGAGGCTTTTATATGTGCTTCGCACCTTTGGGTCGGGTCATATGGCTAAAGGGAACCCCCCAGGAATTTTGAATTTGAATTTAAGGGTCAGATTACAAATTTTTGATGCCCCCAGGATTGATCACGTAGATCAATACCCCTAGAGACCGCCGAAATGATGGTACCTGCTGATCGCCGCGCATCTCACCAGTCCATCGATTTTTGTAATGAAGCCTGGAACCCCGCCTCGGCGCCCCGCGGGGGTATCGACTGCGTAGATCAAAACCTACAGAGGGTCAAAACCATCAAGTTCTAGCGAAAACAGCAAACTGAAAAGTCACGACTCGTTCACAAGCATAGCGGGATTCCGGAAGAGTTTGTGACTGAGTAAAAGGCACGTCAACGACATTTCTTTTCGGAGATCATAGAAGTAAAATAAGGGCTAACCGACCGTAGCGCAAAAATCAACGAGGGCATGTCTGGCCAATGGAAGTTGGAGGGATCGTAAGCTCAAGTATCGGTCACAAAATATAAAGGTACCAAGTTATGGCAATGTGGGAGGACAGTCTCTCAACCATACTGCGGCTACCCTTGTGTATGTCAATAGTCACCACTTCTCGTTACAATGCCAATTTTGAAAAAAAGCTTATGGACGTTTGAAGCTTTCGTGCTTCAGGAGAATGCTCTTGAAAACCCATAGAAGGAAAAAACGGAACAATGAGGCTACTCATTGAGAAAAGAAGATCTTTGGGAGAGAGACGGCACTTCTTCGAAAGCGCTCTTCTTCTAGTTTCCAATTAGCCTTCAAGATCTGCAAAAAGTTGATTATGAAGGAAAGTTATGAGCACTTTGAATGTTGAAAACTCGCGTGTGCACAAAAAACAGGAACGGCGGGGCAATTCAAAAAATTGAAGCTCTATATCAAGTCAAACAC